GACACATTTCCAGGCTCCATGCTACTATTGAGATTTTATTTTTTTCAAAAACCCAGTAATACTTTGCCCGACCCGGGAATCGAACCCGAGACTCCTTCCCGGCAGTCGCATTTGCGACCACTCGGCCAACGAGGCAGTCCTACATAATATAGGTAACAAACTTCAATACCCCCATCAAAGCTCTAACTACTCAATTTCGATCGCGGGAATTGGTTGAGCGAGTCAAAAAGAGGCTATCCAAGAGTTGGGTGAAGAAATCGAGTCAATCACATGCGCATCGAACCATGAATATTTCAAACATCTCACTGGGTTTACGCACTAAGCTTCGGAATCGTAGCGGATGAATTTATGTCCATCAAAATGAAGATTCGACTTCCAAAATACTGGGAAATTGAGTATGAGTAATTGTAAAGAGGTTTAAGGTCTTTTCCCGGTTTTGGTTATTTTCCTAAATGTTGGTAGAAAAACCTAACCTGATACAATCTGTCTATCATGTGTGGCGATTATCGTAAACCCTTTTGTGTAGAAAAGCTTCCTAGTTCCTTAGAAGAGTTTTACAGGGTTATGATGCTTTTTTTTTAAAAAAAAAAGGAACGTTGCTCCATACTAGGATTTTCTCCTGTATCGTGGGTGCGTTTACAAACATACAAGTTCACATACACATGACACCCAGATCCGGAACAACAATCTGTGGATCAAACAAAGAGTTGTTCCGTGCGGCAATCAAACCAACGACACATTGCGCGGCAGTCGGATGCCCAACCACCGCGCCAACCGTGCAGTCAACTTGAGCTGAGACAACTTAGAGCCACTAAGTTTAACCCATCATGGACTGATAGTTAAAAGGTCTATACAGGTTTTAACCAACCAGGTTAGGTGGTAGTTATCTAGGCAGGAAAACAGTGATTTTAGATAGTAGATAAGTAGTAACAGTAAGTAGGGTGTTCCTTGTCTATGGTCCACAGATAATATTAGATATTAAGTATTCTATGATTTTAGTAAAATAATGAGTCTGTGGACCATGGACAAGACTTCATTTTTAATTTTTTAGCTTTTATTCTATTTTATTTTTATTTTTTAATAATGTTATGTGTGTTCTTCGGAGAAATAAATGGTTTTTCTTTCTTCTTCTTTCTTTCTTTCTTTCTGATCAAGAAGCTGGTCTAAAATCCTTGACGCTGGATGTCTCTTTAAACACTTTCTTATTGCATATGTGTTTGATCAACCAAAAAAAAAACCAAGTCTTTCTCGCTTTACACTATCACACTATAAATGTAAATGTATTGTAAATGTGAAAGTTTCTTTGTTTGGATATTGGTCCGTCAATCACGCTAAAACTACTAAACGGATTTTGAAGAAATTTGGTAAACATGCATAATATGAGCTGACTTAGGTGGTAGGATACTTTTTATCCCAACTAAATGCTCCCATTTGATAAAACAGGAATACGCAGGTAAAGCCGCGGATAAAGAAAGAAAAAACATTAATATAGCACCAGGCACGATGCAGCATAAAAAAAGATTATAAAAAAAATAGTGTGACAGTAAAAGTTAGTTAGACGAACATGAGTAAAACAAAATTAAAACCAAAGAATTAGAAAAGAAACGCTGACAACATGGTTAAGCTAAATGAGTAAAAGCTGGTGTAACATAAATAACTATTTACTGACCTTAACAAGCCATTAAAAGTATAGAATAATTTTATTTAGGACTATTAAATTGTTTGGACTATTGACCACCTGTTTACCTGTAAGCAATCCCTTCCTGTGCTTCAGTTTTCATTTCCAAAAGTAGGAAGTCATAAGCTTCATTTTGTTCTCACCGAAAGTTACTTCAAACATCATTTTATTACATGGCCTTGTTTCCTTTGTGTTATTTCTCGTACGGTATATCCAGTTTTTCTTTGATCTTTCTCTTTCGTATATCTCTCAACAATCCTGTCTGAAAAACAAATATGATCTGCTATGTGTACATGTAAGCATGGTGACTTAATTTACGTACTTATACCTGTACTTATACCTACACTTTTTCATTATCTTTCCATTATCTAAAAATTCTTTCCATTATCATTGTACCACCAATCACCTGTATTCACAATTGTTAAATGTTTTTCTTAAATAAATTGTCGTACACCAAGATTTGCTCCTGTGTCGTGGATGCATTTACAAACATAAAATTTAACATACACATGATACCTAGACCCGAAACAACAATTTTTGGATCTCACAAAGAGTTGCTCCGTGCGGGAATCGCACCCGCTACTCGTTACACGGCAGCCAGTTGTCCTGCCACCACGCCAACCGTGCAATTGCTGTTCAGAAAAATATTATTTTGGAACGCAACGTTCAAAATGGAAAACCACAATACCGTCCTAGCGTATTTTGCACCGAGTGCGTACCTTATCCTAATATTTTAGTATTCCGATATGCCATCAGGATATTTTTCTTCACGAATGAATTTTACGACAGCAATTCACTTACAACCTTGCACAATTTATTATGAATTTATTGTTTGACTTTCAACCTTATTTTCGAAAAATATACTGCAGATGCCTCAAGTTCTTGGCGCTTTCCTTTGTCACTTATATACTATTTTTTTTATTATTCAAGGATTCCGATGCTAAAAAGCGTTGAGAAAAACCTTAGATAATACTGACTGATAGACTGCACGGTGCATTTCACACAGTTCACGTTGTTGTTGTTTCAGGTCTGGGTGTCATGTGTATGTGAACTTGTATGTTTGTAAACGCACCCACGACACAGGAGAAAATCGGAGAAAATAATTATTCCCAGGTTTCCTCACATTGTTTTCCTTTACCGTTTGCCAGTAATATCGAAAGTATATTATCACTCGAAAAAGCCATATTCATACCTGCCACTGGTACATTTCAAACCCGCACTCTCGTGCATAAGAAGCGGGCATCTTATATCACAGACTACCACGATATACTAACTTCATTATACGCCAAATTACAAAGCCAATATAGTTATTGGCTACCTATACCACCCCGATCTTGATACCAAGCACAATTCAAACAGTAAATTTTAATTTCATTGTTACCGAAGCGGTTTCCTCTGGAAATGTCTTCATCGATAACAGTAGTCTAATATGAAGTCGTTTGGTGTCTTTTAAAGATATTTTCTTTTAAAAGAAATGAGAATAGCGTTCTGAAGTCTTTGTTCGCTGTTTGCTTTTTTAATGTTTTTTTATTTTCGTCGTTAGTGTCTTGGTGATGTTACTAGTGATTTTTTTTGTTGGTTTGGTATAACTGTTCAGTATATAAGTTTGTTTCTTGAGTTCACCAAATAATTATTAGGGTTTTTAATTCAAAATAAGGTTCAGTGTGAGGTAATAAATGATTAAATATGTTGTCTTTTTGAAGCATCTTTTCAATTTTAACTGTTGGGGTACTTTTAACGCTATTCACGAGTTCTTTGTCGCGTAATAATAAAAATACAGATACACTTTTCATAATCCAGAAATGAAACTCGATAAGTTTTTAATTTAATCTTTTGACTACTAAGGCAATCAATAATTAAAACCTGAATCAAAATTAGATTTTAACAGTAAATATTTTATTTTGAATTCGCCAAAAATACTCTTTAAAGAAACAGAACAATAATATTTAAAAATATAAAAATAGGAGCCGACTAGTAGCGGGAGCATGGTCTAAGCTGCCAGTGGTTAGGGCTCCAGAGACCGAAACCCCCTCACGATGCGCACCGTTTCAATGGAAACTGCCTTCTGTAGCAAGCCCTTGACCTATCCGCCTCACGCCAGCCTCGTAAGGTGGTTGTCGAGGCTGTTAGGTATTAACTCATTGGCCGACACGACTATTAGTACAATGATAACCGATTCCACATGCCACATGTCGACTTCATTTGCTTATCTTTCTCAGCTTTCACGAGGTTCTCATCATGGTGAATGGTGATAACGATTATCATGGTGCGGCGTATTTGTCACTTTTAACAATAATTATTAGTAACAGTGGCATAATGTCCACCCCCCCACCCATGTGTGCCTACCCTTTCAGGGATAACAGGCGTGATGTTATGCTATGTACTAGTAACAAGAATTAATATTTATAACCATTTCCACTCAACTTACTTCTCTAGAACAGGCAGACTGATTTGAATTCAAACGACGCTCACCACGAGTCAAGGCGTCGTTAGCAGAATCCAGTCTAGCATTAAATTAAAAGCGTACCATCATAAATATCTGTCTATCCTTGTCTAAGTTCAAGAAAACGTATATAACAATTTATCAAATTACGCGCGACGAGGTGCCTGTCGCACAGCCAACTGTTATATCGGTATGGGTTCCTTGCATAGTGTGAAACTGATTAAGTCACCTCGTAAAATTACGTCGTAAACCGTAAAATATGCTGCGAATAACTTAACGGGTTGCCGGAGCTCCGACTCGAAGTGCAAGAGTAGGAACGGGGTGGTTTTTAGTCAGTAGGAGTCTGACACTCCTGCCCGCCTCACATAGGTGGGAGAAGTTATTCGATGATTTTTCACCTTTCAAAAAAACCGTAAAACATAATTCATTTGTTAATCCACAATCATCCACGTCACTCCAACCCTTAAATCCCAAATCACAAATTCCTAAATATATCTGATGTTGTGGTTGTCCATAGGTGACGCCAATTGATTACCTTCAAATGATCTGTCCGCTCATTTGCGGTCATATACCAATAAAAAAAACATGAATTTTTCCGAGTTACATGTACTTTCTAAGATTATCTAGACACCACTGACAAACGGTCAAAGAAAATCGTGAAGAAACCTAAGCTCATAATTACTAATTATAAGTTTAAAATCGCCAACCCGCATTGAGCAAGCGTGATAATTAATGCTCAAACCTTCTCCATTTAAGAAGAGGCCTTTGGTCAGCACTCATTAGCCACTTATAGGCTGTTGATGTCTAATAAAAAACTCTCACAAGAGTTCCCCACGATACACGAGTTACAATTTATTAATCTATATTTTTCTTTCGCAGGTGAAAACCCCGCCGCTATGCAGTCTTCTTCGCCTAGTTTCATCAACCGTCTACATAATATCTTATTACCAACCCTCATCAGTTATAATCTGATACGGTGACAATTTCACTAGCTCATCAACTGAAAATGTACCCTATATGTAATAGAGAAATGGTTTATTTTTGCGTGGAGTGAAATTTGACGTATAAATTTGAAAGGGTATTAGGAGTAACGAGAGCGTTGAGTGTACATGTGTTTTTACTTCGCCTGGTTTCGTTTTATTTAGAGCGTCGTTTTCGGAATTGTTTGTTGCTTACGAGGTAAAAATATCAGATGTTTTTGGCTGATCGAATTTATCATCTATTTTTATTAAACTTAAGCTGATATTTGTTTGGCTGTATGTACTGTTTTAGAAGCTAAAAACAAGTTTCTTTCATCTCTGTCGTAGAAACTTTAAGCTATTCATTATTGTTATCGCGTCTCGGTTAAATATGGAACTTGAATATTGGATATTTGAATTATTAGCTGAGCAAATGTCAGTTTTGCCATTCTCTGGACTATGTGTGTAGTATAAAACATCACTATTATCTATATTATACTAAGCGGCCTAAACCAGTTTTAATCAAGTGCTATTCTCTGATTTTACAACTAAAGTGAATCAATCTAATAGGGTAGATGCCTAATTTTGATTTTAATATCCTTCTGGTAGATTATTTTAAAACATTAGACACAAAGAGTATTAGTTATACTTTCGATGATATATTGATAATGTCGCGTGACGTCACATCTCTGTACATTTTATACGTAGAAATGACGTTTTAGCCCCCACTCCTAAACTTTGATTCGTTTCATCTAAGTATTGTTTTATTATACGACAAAATAAAAAATACGTGTCTAATATTTTTCATTACCTAACTTATGGACTAAGTACATTTTTAATTTTCATACCCCAATCATCTCTATTTGGTGCATTCATTCACGAGTTACATAACGGATCAAAACATAATTTTAACCTTCTACAGCTACATCATCCAAGCCCTTAATTGAAAAACCATTTCAAAAACAACCACTTTACTTAAAAACATCAATATTTTTCTTGCTCAGATTCAAGAGAACCTTACTTTCTTGCGCCATGGTTATCAGTCTTATTTGTAAATGGAAATTTTATCCTCGTTCCTCTCATTACGAGACCTCCAATGCAATCAATGAGCTATCCCATCGATATGGGTCAAGAGATCGCCACTTACAAATGTACTTATCTTGTTCTGTGAGTAGATTGGTTCGTTGAAAAAGTATGACTATTAATCCAGGTTTTATCATTGGCTCTTGCAGAATTATTGGTATTAGTTATTTTGGCGTGAAAAAGCACTTGCATTGTGTTTACCAACAGCCTAAACTTTTTTCTAATCCATATAAACTTTTTTTTAACTTTGCCCCACATTAGGATTATCTCCTGTGTCGTGGGTGCGTTTACAAACATACAAGTTTACATACACAATGACACGCAGACCCGAAACAACAATTTGTGGATACTCTCTCGAAACTCGCGACACGTTGCATGGCAGCCGGTTGCCCAGCCACCGTACCAACCGTGCAGTCTAAACCGGCAATGCTACATATATGTGCAATGGTAACTTCTACCTCTATAGTGTTTTCTTAATATTCAATGTTAATTATTATCTACGGGCTCTTGGTCCATGTTATGTCATATTAGTTTTTTTTCTATAGTGTTGAGGGAGCCCATGATAGGAACTGAATCTTTAAGTGATTCGTCTGCTGGTTGCCTTATACTATAAAAATTTCTACTGAGGTATAGTGAAGGTCACAGCTTGTCTAATACAGAACCTGTTATAGCAAGAATGACAACCAAACCATAGTGATGATTTTTTTTAAGGCGGAAAATCATCGAATAACTTCTCTCAGTGTCAGACTCTTACTGAGTAAAAACCACCCCGTCCTACTCCTGCACTTCGAGCCGGACTCCCGGTAACCCGTTAGGTTCTCCGCGGCAACCATAGTGGTCCTATGCAACGTATCACGTATTGACAAGTGTTATAGGTAAAAGTAAGAGTTATTAATGAAAAGTAGAATTTCAACTCTAATTATCAGTTAGCGAAAAAATAAATACAATATGTACTTCAGAGAATTTTATATCAATAGAATTGTAAAGAATTTTACAGTTATTAATTTCATCTGCAAACTCAGTGACTAAATACAAAATATTTATTGATCAACTGCTAGAACAAGGGCCAGTCTAAATAAATTTGTCTAAAATTGGAAAGGGAGTGTCTCAAGTTCAAACGTTCTAATGGCAAGCATGTAGCCGAGTCTTAATTATGACATTAAAGGGTTTCAGTGCATTGGTTCTGACGTTTTGATATTTTGAATCAATTTCAGAGCCTGTTAATGTAACGTCTGGACGGCTTGAAACACTTTGAAGATTAAATTAATTTGAAATGAAACGAATGAATTATGTTGGTTTTTAATTGACTTATTAGCTGGGATTGCAGCTTGAATTAATTAAAATTTCTTATTTATAATTGCACTTTTCTCTTCTATTAATTATTGGTACTACTGCCTCGCAAGTGAGACTGCTGTGCAAGGGGTGTCAGGTTCGATTCCCAGGTCAGGCTAAGTATTATTTTAAATCTCAGTATTAGCATAGAGTCCGGAATTGTGCCCTGTATATGCCAATAGGCTCACCCCCTTTTAATTATACCCAAACATTTTGGGTATAATTTTCGTAATAGGGTAGTTATTCTATTATTTATTTTCGTAATAGTATCTTAAATTTTATTTTAATATCCATCTGATAGATTATTTTAAAACATTAGACACGTATTTAATCCTTTCTTACAAAATTAAATACGTTGAGACGTTACGATTTACTACGTTTTATAGAGTAGAGTGACGTAACGACCTCCCACTCCTAAACTTAACTCCTTTTTATCTAAGCACTGTTTTCTTATACCGACAAAATAAAAAAATATGTGTCTAATATTTTTTCATTACCTAACTGACGGACTAATTACATTTTTAAATTTCATACACTGTCTACTACCCTATTCTAGACCGCGTACTGTTTTTTGGCTTTACTCAAAAACTAAATTGCAGCTACTCATTCGACAATACGATCTATTTTTCAATAACCGTTTACTGCGCTACCAACTGTAAGTCGTATAGCTAATTTTAAAAGCACTCTTAAGCAATTCCGTTATAAAATCGTAACGATTACAATTGTTTGCAGTAGCGACCTCTCGCTTCTCAATGGATCGTTGGACCCTTTCCTTTTTAACGATCCCCGTTGTTGTAGCTATAAAGTTTTATGCATTGGGAGTTTTCTTGAGAATTTGAAGATTTTACTTTTTATCTTGAGTAAAGAGGTCGGTTATGCCAGCTACTCGCAGTTTTTCGCAATGAAACTTGTATTATGTATTGTTGCAGCTATTGTACCAACGGTTGTAGCCATATATTTACATTTTTATACCTCCTTCTGAATAGCAGAAGTGTCTGAAAATGCATTGACCCTTTGAGTACCGTCATTATAGACACAATTAAAGAATAATAGGTTGCGGTCACCGGTGTCCTCGCGGTGTTTGACAGTTTAATTTGACTGCACGTTTGGTGCGGTGGCTGGACAACCGATTGTTGTTCCGGGTTCGGGTGTCATGTGTATGTGAACTTGTATGTTTGTAAACGCACCCACGACACAGGAGAAAATCCTAAAGTGGGGCAACGTTACAAAAATTACGCGATTAGGAGTTTCAAGAAATCTTTTAGTTCTTATATTCTCTAAAGGCCTGAAATAACAAATACAAATATAGTTGTGGTTTTTTGTCATTCCAGCTTCATTTTCTAGCTAAATATGAAACAAAACCAAACAATAGTTGAAATGGTCACTATGATTAGCATATAGCCACAATTATAACCCCATATGCCGTAAATTTATCGAAAGCACAAAACCTAATAACACCTTACCTCACCAGGGAATTGAAACTAGGAAACTTCGTAACAAGGCAGCAGAATTGAAGTATGTAGGTTCTTTTAAAACGAGAAAAATTTCAAAATTGACGAAGTGAATTGGATTTGTCGCTTTCTCGATGTATCTTGGTGAAAGCATGACCTATTTCTATTGAGTAGTCGGGTAAAAGGTACGGCGTACCTTGAAGATGGAAGTTTGAAATATCATAAATTGTAAATATTAAGATCACAAAATATGATTGACATTTTCCAACATAACACAGCATCACGCTTTTAATCAATGATGGGGTAAGCAGAGATATATTACGGCACTTAATGCCACTGTACAATGTAACACCCACTTTTCGCTATTTATGTTATGAGTCCCATGTAATAGGGGGTCAGGGTATTGTCATATACCGGGCACGATTACAGACTACCTACTACAATGAATACTGAGATTTTTTTATAAAACCGAATAATACTTTGCCCGACCCGGCTGTCTGAAAATGTGCCCGGTATATGGATTGCCATATAGCGGGCACATTTCCAGACTCCGCCTATTGAGGCTCACCCCCTATTACATGGGACTCATTACATAAATAGTGAAAAGTGGGTGTTACTTCTGTGTGCACCTCTGCCTACCACGGGCATAGTATTACTGGGTTTTTTAAAAAAAATCTCAGTGGTAGCACGGAGTCTGGAATTGTGCCCGGTATATGGCAATAGGCTCACCCCCTATTACATGGGACTCGTAACATAAATAGTGAAAACTGGGTGTTACATTGTACAGTGGTATAATGTGCACCTCTGCCTACCCCTTCGGGGATAAAAGGCGTGATGTTATGTAATGTTATATTATTTTCGATAATTTTTTAAGGACGTTCCGTAAAATGAACGCGAACAGGCAAACTTACCCTATGTAAATACTAGGTGTATAGAACATGTAAAATAGAGTTGTGAAATCCAATTTGGCTAATGTGTTTTTCATTAGAATACAATGGCTTCGTATGAAACGATGACCCGACAATTTCGGAGACACAAATAAATTACTAGTAACTACACGCCGCGCCGTTGATTCATTTTGCAAATGGCTGGAATTTATACATTTTGTATAGATATAGTTTTCATGAAATTCCGGCTTAATAACTTTACTTTTAT